TGGAGGAGCAATTGAAGACGGCAGTGCGGGTGCCTGGTGATGAAGGTCGGACTCTCTGGAGTTTTTGGAATTTGGGGAGTTTTCACGTATTAATTACGGGATTAAGAAGTATAAATAGTTTGAGGGGTACTTATCTAATTTGTTATTTTTTTAGGGTACCCAGTCTAATTTTCCCAAACCATTATACCAAGATAGTGGTGGGCCTACGCTGTCCCAATCCAAGCAAAGGGCATGGACTTGAAAAGTCAAAACCAATTCCAAACCATGCAAACTTTCTTCTCTCTCTAATAGTTGTTTGTATGACCTTCACTTTTTTTCTCTAGGACTAAGGGTGACACTTTAACTTCTTAGGGGAAGAAGATTGAGTCGGTGATGAAATGGCAGGCAGAAAATATAAATTCTTGAAATAAAAAACATTATTTGATATTGTGAAAAAAAAAAACAAAAATTCTTCGATGCTGTTCTATTGAAGCAATAAAAACAAACTCAACAACTACAAAACAATAAATGTTGTGTTGTCTCCAACACACTTAAATGATAAGATGACGAATATCTATACGCAGCCATGGCATAAGCAAAGCTTTCTCAACTTCTTTCATTGCCTTCTTTTGGATTAAAGAAATCGCGTAATTCATAAATGCTGCGTCACAAGGCAATATTATTGGCCCTTCACTTCGTAGTCTAAACTACTCTTCTGACATTATGAGTAGCTCCCTTAGTATGTAATTGTTGAGATAGGCTATTGGGAAAGCATATCGCTTTTTATTATCAGTATACGCAATAAAATGACCTTTTTCAGCTAAAGAATTAGATGAATAGCTATTGGTACTAGCTTCCTCATTCACGGCTGGGATCATTAGCCGTTTTCTTCCCATGGCAGCCAGCCTTTGCCACTTCCTTGCCATGCTGATGAGATTTGTGGAACTGATCATCTTGATCTTTGATATCTTTTGATGGAAATTTGAGATGAGGATACTTTTTTATCTTGGAAACGCTGGAATGATATTGTTTTTTTATTGTGTAGAAAAAATGGGGGTCAATCATATATAGTGATTTCATTATAGGCTGGAGACATTCGAGATGCTCTTAACACCAAATTTTACACCAAAAATAAGGATATAGAGGGAACAAAAATTTGGTGTAAAAGAAAATTGAGGGCAAAATGGGAAATAATGAACAGTGTTACACCAAATTTGGTGTAATGAATAGTGGTTATTACACCAAATTTACACCAAATTTACCGTTGGAGTGGTTATTACACTTTACACCAAATTTGGTGGACCATTGGAAATGTTCTAAATGCAACTTTTTAAGTGTAGCTCCACGCATGGTTACAAGTCCGTTGTTAGAGAATTTTCAAACAGTGTGAGTTTTGAACATTATTAGATTCATAAAAGAGCTAGCACAAGTCAAGGGATCATAGGCGGTTAGTACAAAGTAATGGAGGTCATAGGAGGGTCAATGGAGGCCTATTTGGGCTTGCCGATGGCCACCTAAAAGTTTTGGGCAATCAAGCTGTGTTACGCAAGTAAAACTTGCATGCACTGGGCGGCCGCCCCAGTACAAACTCAGAACAGATGAGCACGTGTTCATGTTTAAACTCATTTTTATGGCCTCTTTTCACCCTTAATTTGGTTATTTAACTAACTTTATGAATAGTTGTGGCTCAAATAAAAGGGTGCAACTCTTGGGAAGCGATAATTAATGATCCATATCAATGATTGTTTGACAACCTGGGCTCCATGGGCGCACCTAGGGGGGGTCCTGGAGGGGCAAGTGTCCCCCTCCCCAACTTTTGAAATTTTTTTTTATTATATAAAATCGTATTTGGTATCGATTGAAATATAAATTTTAATCTAAATCAAAGTAAACAATTAATTTTAATAACATATTTCATGAAATCCATAACTGTTTAACTTTTATCAAATTTTACTAAAAATTTGATTTTAATCTCCATCAAATAGGGGTAAAATCACAATAAATTTGAATTTCGATAACATGCTAATTTTAAAAATTCTCCGACGATCGTACGCTAATCGAATCTACAAATTGCTTATGTCATCTCAAAACTTATTTCAAGAACTACA